AAATCCCCGACCAAAAGGAAAGATTTTAAAAAAATTCCAGGCAGTCCTTTTTGATGCTTTTATGTCTAAGTTTTCTTTTTAATTTTATCAGAGAATATTGTCAATGCTATTTCTACTTTTTGAAATTGGTTGAGATTTTCTTTGTTGGTAATGTATGTTAAATTTCTGTAAATGTTGAGTGCTTTCAGAGCTATATTTTCAGTCTTTAGAGTTTAAAAATATATTTATTAGATCTATTTTAAAATAGGTAATTAGTCTATGTCCTTATTTTTGTTTGTTTAATCTGTCGTTGATTAGGAGGTATGAATTAGAGTCTTCAATTATGTTTCTGTTTGTTGTATATTTCCTGTAGTTTCTGTCTCATTAATTTTGATGCTGTATTTGTATTACATATATTCAAAATTATTCAATCTTCACTGTGAATGTACTTTACAAAGGTAAATTACCCTTCTTTGTAACTTTTAACATTTTACTCTTAATCGACCCATCCAATATTACCTCTTTTTAAGTGTTTTGCATTTATCTTTGTGCTTCATTTTCAATGATTAAACTTTGATTTGTGACCCAGTGTGAAAAAGTTTTCCCTTTTTCTTTTTATTAAATTCTTTTATTGGTACATTGTAGGTATACAATTACATTTCTCATTAGGAATTGTACCTTTACATAATGCATCTTGGATAAGATCTTTTATACCTTTTTTTTTTTTTGGTATCGGGGATCGAACTCGGGTCCTTGCGCTTGCGAGGCAGGCAACGGAACCACTGGGCTAAATCCCTGGCCCAAAACTTTTTTTAATTGCTTGGATTTAATTGGCTCTTTACATTTATTGATTGGACAGATGGATTCAGTCTTATAAAACATTGCAGAACCAATGTACTTTCCTTTAATTAATTAATTAATTAATTAATTTTGGTACTGGAGATCATACTTGCGATCTTGCGCTTGTGAAGCAGGTGGTGGAACCACTGAGCTAAATTTTACCCCAGCCCTTTTCCTTTATTTTAAACTGTGATACAAACTATGTTGTTTAAAATTAATTTCTTTGGTATGTTTTAAATTTTCATTTTAATTGTGCTTTTCTTTACTTAATTGAAAATGTTCATTTTTTTAGTTTGGATCTTGTGGGTAGTATTACATGTAATTTTACATAACATGCTATGTTTAGTTCTCTAGTTCTTTAGATAGCATTCCCCTCTTAAGCAGTATCAGAATTATACTTCTACTTTATCCCACTTTTAATATTCAATTTTAGTTTATATCTTTTTTTAGTTTAGTGTTTGTTTTACACTTTTTTTGGGGGGGGGGTACTGGGGATCGAACTCAGGACCTTGAGCTTGCCAGGCAGGCGCAGTGCCACTGAGCTACATCCCTGGCCCTTACACTCTTAAATATATTTGTATCTGTAACATTCTTTAAAGATTTTGTCTTACTTTTGTCTACCTTTGTCATTTCTTTCAACTCCTTTAATAGTTTGTAATATTTACATTTTATTCTGTAACTTTAATCCCCACAGTTGTGTTAAATGTATTCCTAGAGTTTAATGAGTTTATTACTCACTGCCAGTACCTTTAGTATTGTTTTTCCATTCTTATTTATAGTTCATCTTTAATAGTTTCCTGAAGAGGGTTGAATGAGAATTATTCCCTGAATTATTGCATTTTTAAAATGCCTATCGGTTGCATTGATTTTTATACAACAGTTTAGCTGGGTATAAAGTTTTTACTTCCATTTTCTAAAGTTTTTGTATGTATTGCTCCTCTGACTTTGAAGGTATTGCTCCTTGAGCTATTTCCAGCTTTCTTAAAAGGAATGTTTTTAGAAGGTCTATATTTTTAGTAGCTCAAGGCTTTCATATTTCAACTGGAATCATGGGCTGTAAAAAAGAAAAAAATCTTTGAAAGAAGGGACAGATGCCTGTTATCATCTGATAAGTCATCTGTTTGATTAAATTTCTTCTTCATTGTATACTAGACAGTCAGAATCCCCCTTTGAAATTTTTCTTTCTTCCTTTCTTATCCAGGCATCTAAATTCTTATAGTAGTAGTTCTTATTTGAATTTGTATTGTAATTTGAGCTTGTAGATTTAATAATAAATATTTTGGAGATTATTTAGTTCTATTATAAGGAAAGAGAATTATGGAATTATCTCTTTTCCCCCACAGCAGATTGAGTATTCTTTTTCTTCACTTGATCTTAGCCAAAAGGCCGAGAAGCGATGCGTATTCTTTTTCTTGAGGGAGAATTATGAGTAAATACTGTGTAAATGGTTGTATTGGACTTTTGTAATTTTTTTCTTTTCTTTTTTTTATGTACTAGCAATTGAACCCACAGCTTTTGCACTGAGCTATGCTCTGAACCCTTTTTATTTTTTATTTTTGAGACAGGGTCTCTCTAAGTCAGTAAGTTGCTCAGGCTGTGCTCAAATTTGGAATCCTATTGCCTCAGCCTTCCAGAGGATTGAGGTTACAGGCATGTGCCACCACTCAGCTGCTTTGTGATATTTTCCTAAATGCAAATATTATGTGACAGTTGATGGGAAATATGTAAAGCTAAGGAAAATACAAAGTTGAATGGTCTTTGGATATGATCTTTTAATAAAATTGTATTTAGATATGGTAGATGGCTTTTTCTTTGATCATGATGGCTGTTAGGTTTTGGGTGCTCCCTTTTAAGTCTCATCCATGGTGGAATAGATTTCGCACTGTATTGATAGCATCCTGGTAGTCAAAGACTTAACATTTAAAAAATTTATTTTTATTAATACATATTTGCCATACATAATGATCACATTAATCATAGGGAATTTGTACATGTACATAATATGTCTTAATTCTTTTTTTCTCATTCTCCTTTGCTTCCTTCAACCCTTCTTCCCCTTCCCATTTACAAAAGCTTTGTTTCCATTTTTTTCCCCTTCTATTCTTTTTTTTTTTTGGTACCAGGGATCAAACTCAGGACCTTGCGCTTGTGAGGCAGGCACCAGAACCACTGAGCCAAATCCCCGGTCCCTTGTATTCTTTTTTTTTTTTTTTTAAGCCCTTTCCCCTTTCTTCCCTTCCCCTTCCCTTGTTCCTCTTCCCATTTTTGAAGAACATTTCTGACTGTGTCCAAATCATTCACTTGATCCATTTGCCTCTTGGGAAATGGTAAGGGATTCTAGGTATCACTTTGGACCTTTTAGGATGATATAGTTCAAAGAAATTATGGCTACAGGGCTTAAGTACTTAGTAGTGACTGAGCCCACTATTTCTTGCCATTAAGCTGTTTCCTCAGTCAGTGACCATCAGAGTGGCATCCCACAGTATATTTGTTTGGTATAGTACAGAAGTCTTTGTTTGTGACAAATGGGAAAAGGACAGGGCCATTCTGGGAGAGAGTAACCGAATCTTAGATTCTCAGGCCTATGAGAAAGCTTTTCACGTCATATTGCATTTTGTAGGGTTTATCTTATGAAGTTCAATCAGCAGTAGGAGTGGTAGGATTATGTGCTGCTATTGCTCTTTTATTCTGTGCTACATGCGTTATTTAATTTTTTTTATTAGAATGATTATGTGACTTTTTTTTATTATGCTCATGTTACTGATGAGGAAATGGAGGCTTGGAGTTAAGTCACATAATAGTTAAATGATAGATTCAGGATTTGAACCAGAACTCCCTGGCTCAAAGGCTACCAGTGGTGGCAGACCTATAGCACATGTGCCCTAACAGGCTGTTTGTTATCATTGGAAGCTCTAAAAGGTTCGCCATCACTGGGCTGAACCTTTAACTGTATTATTGTTGTTCGTGATTTAGTGTTGTACACCTTCTAATTCTAAACAAGGCAGAGTAGAAATTCTCATTATACATCATTTAATACAACTCTGGGTTTGAATAATTAAAGCAGACTTTCCTATCCTACCTGTACGCTCCATGTACTTTGGAGCATTAGATTATGGAATGAGGAGGTCTGGGAGAGTGAATATTGTTTTTCCATAGATAATACCATACATGGTTAAATGGAATTTGCTTGAATTTCCTCCCTTGTCTTAATGGGGAAAACTTTCAGGCCTTAAATGTCAAAATGGAAATCTTTATCCCAAATAAAGTTGGCTCTGAGATAGGAACCGTAATGAATGTTGGAGAATTATTTAAAATGGCACCATTACTCAAATTTCTCATTGTTAATGAGGAAATGTGCTTGTATGTCATTTGGTGATCCAAAAAACAGCCCAGCTAACATTGTATTTGTTTTTCTGGATGGGGTAATGAGGCTGAATAGTCATTTATGTGAGTGTAATGGGTATTGACCTGTGAATTCCACTGTAACTTTGTAATTAATGTATTATTACTGAAGCCTTACCGAGTATTTCTGCCTTCTGGACACAATAGAGACTTCTATTGTTTGCAGTTACCCTCATAAAAATTTGAAAGCAAGTGGAAAAAAAGCTTTTTCCTCTCAAAACAAGTTTGCCCTCTGCTTCGTGGTTCCATCCACCCCGTGGTATGAAGACAGAGCCCCTGGAATCTACTGCCAGCTTGTGCTAGGTTGCCGCCTTCTGTTCACTTCCAGCTTGTCTTCTGCCTGAGGCAGACACACTATCACCACACCATCCCGGGAGAGCAGCAACCTAGTGATGAGCAGGCAAGCTAAGCTTTCTCTTTCACTCTGGAGGGCAGGGAAAATAGTCCTTTATTCCCTTCCCTCTTGCCTGAGAGGTGGGGTAAGGAAGTTGTTCCTTTCTGCCAGTCCCTTTGCTCATCACACTCAGAAGACTTTTTTCCATAATTTTGTGGTTGATGCCTCAGCAACCCAGTCACTAAGAACAAAAGGAACAGAGCTGTGCAAGCAAAGTGGCTGCTAAGATTTGAGTCCAGTAGTGCGACTAAGAGCACTGGCTTGAAGGGAAATTATTCCTCTGTTATTTTGGAGTCTCATCTTGAAGACAATTAAACAGTCCAGACAGGTCACTAGGTGAGACCAATTTACTGGTTTGTTTATTTGAGCCCAGTTTTCACCACCGAGCAGCAGGGCACAGTCTGCTACACTGCTACTAGGGCTACAGAGAGCAGTCCTTTCGTTTTGTATTTCTCCAGGCTTCCCTAAGGATCCTTGCATGTTGTTATCTCTCTAGATTGCTCTCAGGCACAGGGTGGAGGACAGTGTCAGTAATTACTTTTGACTTCATCTTGCACAGGCTTTTGGCTTTATGTCCCGAGTTGCCCTACAAGCAGAGAAGATAAATCATCACCCGGAATGGTTCAATGTATACAACAAGGTAACTAAATTGCCTTATTTTGGGATCACTTTAATTATAGAGTTTAAGAAATTTCTTTCTACTTTTCTTCCTTGTCATCTTGTGCAGCAAAATGTTACTGTGTTTAAGAAAGTATTTTCTTCTTTTAGAATCCTTGTGCATTATTGCAAATTAGTAACAAATTTCACGTCTGCTCAAAAGAACAATGAATAAGCTCTTTATTTTCCTAGTTGTCTTCTACTGAAGCTATATGAGAGACTTGGGCTAAATGAGGTTCTCAAATTAAACTTGGCTGTCAGCCATGCAAATAAATTTTTAGATTGAAAGTAATTTATTTAAAGAAATGGTAGATAAGGTAGATATGGCGTTATTTATCTCATTTAAGTAAATTTTCTCAGGAACTATACTTTACATAATACCTGTTTATTAAATTCTGAATCCTCAAACAAAGGGCAGACTAAAAAGTTTTAAGGGACTCAGTGAGAAGAATTATGTCCTCCTAAAATATCCTTGCCCTAATGATCATGTCATTTGGAATTTCTTAACCATCCAGGTTTCTGTGAGGGTTTTTCTCTTTGGAAAAAAAAAAAAAGAATTTCCGCATTCTTACGATTTTTGGAATAATTGAAAACACCATAGTACTAGGATACTTTTCTTTCCTAGTTGCCTGTCTTTGCGCATAATTTTGCATTTGCCTTTTTTTTTGGTACCAGGGATCGAACTCAGGACCTTGTGCTTGCGAGGCAGGTGCGGTGCCACTGAGCTAAATCCCCAGCCCTGCATTTGCTTTTTAATTAATTTGTCCAAAAGCAGTGTTCTACACACTGTCTTCCCCCACCCCCAGCTCTTTCCTAATTTGGAAATGTGCTTTTTTTTTTCAAACAACCTTGCTAAGATGCTACATTTGATAGTTTGGTTTTTCTCAGTATCCTGAAAATAGTCAGTGTCATTAAAGTAATGGGAGTCAAAATGGAACCTGTTTCTCCCCTGCCTCCAAGAAACAACATTTGAGATTCTGGCCGCTGAGCTGTCTCATTATGTTAGAGGGAACCTTTTTTTTTTTTTTCCTAAGTTCTTTTATTGGTACATTTTAGGTATACAATTCGTTTACATTTATCATTAGGTGTTTGTACCTGTACATGATGTATCTTGGTTCTTATGTTTTCCCCATTACCTGTGCGCCCTTCACCTCCTCCTCCCTTCCCTATTTACACACACATCATTTCCAGTGTTTTCTTTTCTCATAGTTTTTCCTTTCCCTTTTTTCCTTTCCCCTTCCCCTCCCTTCACCCAAGGGAAACTTTTGTCCGAGGTGGCTGCTGGGCATGGCCTGATGCACACTGTGCCCCTGGAGTTCCCTGGCCTTTGGAAATACGATGTTTACTTATAATGCAGTATTTTCTAAATCTCCCCTATTCTCAAATATGAATGATGAATAATAGACTGATTTCTGAACTGCTCAAGGAGAATTCCATGAATTGCAGCTCATGGTTTTACATGCTGCTTTCTTCTTTCTTAGGTCCAAATAACTCTCACATCACATGACTATGGTGGACTGACCAGAAGAGATGTGCAGCTGGCGAGATTTATTGAAAAAGCATCTGTTTTTGTGTGATTTCTTCCAAAATGCATGTAAAATCTTACACCTATCTTAGCTGCAGTATATTTTGAAGGCAACTTACATAAACAAGTCACACTGTAAATTAATTCACTTGTATACATTTTATATAATCAGTGCTTAAATACAAAATGATTTAAACCTGAACATGAGGTATTTTTCATTACATCTACATATTCACTTATATGAGATACACCAACCCCACTAATTATATTAATATTTTAAACGAAAAATGGCATTAAGAAATTGGAGTGGGGAGATACTCATACATTTTATAGTAATTTAAAATCATGACTTTACATATATATTGTGTTGGAGAATAGTTGCATAAAAAGAATTGTGCACTTTGCAGATAATGGGTTTTAACTTTATATAACAATTCTTTTTTAAAAATTAATTTTATTGGTACATTTTAGGTATATAACATAATGACATTCATCATTGGAAATTTACATAGTCTATCTTGGTTCTTATTTTTTCCCCATCCCCTGCCCTCCCTTCAACCCCTTCATCCCTCCCTATTTACAAAGTCTTTGTTTCTATTTTTTCATTTTTCTCCTATTCCATTCCCTTCTTTCTTTTCCCTACCCCTCCCACTTCCCCTTCCCCCTTGTCCCTTTTCTTCCTATTTCACATTATCTGTTATACCTTTTGATCCTTATTTATACTTTCAGTTTCTCACACAAGAGAAACTATTCAGTATTTACACATGTGTGTCCTATTTATTTCTGTTTTTGTGTGTGTGTGTGTGTGTGTGTCGGTACCCGGAATCAAACTCAGGACCTTGTGCTTGTGAGGCAGGCACCAGAACCACTGAGCTAAATCCCCGGCCCCCTATTTATTTCACTTAGAGTATCGCCTCAGTGTGCATCCATTTAGCTATAAATGTCTCTAATTTCTCATTCTCTGTGGCTGAGTAGTACTCCATTTTGTTAAAAAAAGACATTTTCTTTATCCAGTCTCCAGTTGATGGGCAATTGGCTGTTTCCAAGTTTTAGCTATTACAAGCTGTGCTGCTATGAACATGGGTGCACATATATTGTTGTAGTATGATTGTTTTAATTCTTTTTTTTTTTTTCTACTGGGGAGTGAACTCAGGACCTTGTGTTTGCTAGGCAGGCACTGAGCCACTGAGCTAAATCCCTAGCCCTGATTCTCTTAAATCTTTTGGGAAGATACCCATCAGGGGAATAGCTGGGTCAAATGGGACCTCCA